TTTGTTTAATTACTAACTATTTTATACCAGCATCAATTATTACTTCATAATTTTCAAATCAAAATAATCCGAAAACGGTACACAGTATCGAGTTTTACCAAGAGTACCTTTTTCGTGTAAAATTGAATGATGTTTAAGTTTACTTGAAATTTTGAAAAAATTTAAAAGTTATATTAACTAATATTTAGTACGATCCGTGTAACTAGCGCCCTCTATGAGAATCAGATATAAAAACAAATTCATGGGATGTATCAGCTTCCAAAATATATTCGTATAAAATTTCATTACAACGTTGCCAGTGGTTTTCTGCAAAATCGTAAAAAATGCGTAAATTTTTTTTCTTCAACGCCCTGTATCTTGAAAACGGATGGAGTTACAAAAATTTTTTACTAAGCAAACCCCAATTATTTTTCAGTTTTTTACCTACCCTAGAGACGGGGTTGCTTTTTTTGAAACACCCTGTATATAAAAAAAAAACAATCATATTTGATATACGTTAGAGAATCAGAATAGTAAATAAAATATGTACAAAAAGACTGTACGTTGAGAACAAAACTAGTGTCAGTTTGATATTAAGCTTAAGAATGTTGTAACACAACTAGAAATATAACAAAGCACCTACAACAAAATCACAGCAAAGAAGTAGGAAGGCGTATCTCGTCTCTGTTCACGTGTAATTGTTTAGACCCGCTTATCCTTGGCTGTGATTAGATTTTAGGTCATGAGAGAAAATTTGTAACGAGATGTAACGACAAAATAACCACTAATGTCTCTATATAATGTGAAGCTTCTTTTCACTAAACCCATCCACTCGTGTAGATACATAAGTTCTTTCGCTTTGCTCCATATCCTTTGCGAACGATTCTGTGTTGGCGAAATATTTTTCAGGGTTTCAAAAATGTAGCAAACTGTAATGCAATTTCAAGTGAAACTTAAAAAACTACTGCAATTTAACTCGCATTAAAAGTCGTATATAGCAATTGTTATTCACATACGCAAGTTTTGCAGTTCTTTAAGCTTGTAAAATCAATTACTATTTAAATGGGAATAAGCCACAATTAAAGGTTAAAGTACGTTTATTGACGTTTCAATTTCAAGTTCGGAAATCGTTCTCAAAATACAAAAATCGTTTGTATTTTGAGAGAAAAATCCCTCTTCTTCAGAAAAAAAAATGAATTTAATAAAAAGGAAGAAATAAACCTGAGATTTGCTGGGAAAACATCATTTGAACTATTCTCTTTATTTTTGCCGATATTGTATTCCAGAAGATACTCGAATTCAGCCTGACCTATGCCCGGTACAACAACAGACATGATTTCAAACTCTCTCCAGCTGAAGTGCAGAAGTTTTTTGGTATTTTAATCCTTACCTGTTATCATACACTTCCGGTGTGTGATATGTATTGGTCAAATGACCCAGATAAAGGCGTGGAGCTCGTGAGAAAGTGCGTGAGTCGAAACACCTTCCGAAACATAATAAGAAATTTTCATGTCTCCGATAATAACGTAGACAAAAATGATAAATTTGGCAAGATACAGTTGCGGTCACGGAATAGTTTACAGGTTCACGTATCTAGGAGCCCATTTTTTAAATTTTTACTTCGTTTAAACGCACCTTTTACGTCAAAGTGACGTTGCCAGTGGTATACTAGCTAGAATAGGTAGATTAAAATTAAAATATCAAAATATTTTACAAAATGAAAAATATAGAAAACAGTTTTTTGAATAAAATGGATTATGATCTTAATCACGAAAATAAAGAAGTCTTTTTTTTTAATATGCATTTTATTTTAAATCTATTTTATATTAAATAACGATAAACAATGATAAATAATAATTAATATTTGGTGGAAGCCCCATTCTTGTCAATACAATTTTGCAGTCTTCTGTTCATAGATAGCACCAATCCCTCATGTTATAGTTAACAAGCTCTTCCCATGCCTGCTCAATTGCTTCCCATAATTCAATTCTATTCCGTGGGCTAAGGTTTCTTTGTTAACTCTGCCCACACATTTTCGACGGGGTTAAAGTCTGCACTACGGGAAGGCCACGGAAGAACATTAACATCAGTTTCTTCTAGCCATTCTCGAACAGTTCTACTCGTATGCACCGGGCAATTGTCATGTTGGAAGATAAAGTCGTTGTTGGGGAATCTCTGGATCACCGATGGCAACATTGTGTGCTCAATAATATGTTTGTAATATAATCCTGTTAACTTCTCCTCTACATGATAACAAACGCCCGGGCCTTCGGCACTTATCCATCCCCATACGTTGACAGAGAATCCTCCACTATTTCTTAAATTATGCGTATACTATTCATCATACCTATGATTTCTCGGCCTATAAACTCTTATTCGACCATTATTATACGACTGAAATACTTTTTCATCGGAAAATACAACCCTAGACCAAAAATTCTCATCGCGGTTTATAAATTCATTACAAAATTCAACTCGTCTCCTCTTGTGATCCTCAGTCAAAAAAGGTTTCCGTGCAGCTACACAATTTAGCAGTCCACTTGCTTTAATTCTTCGACGTGCAGTGCGAATACTGCCTGGAAACGCTGCCTCTTCTCTTGCCTTTTGAGCTGTGGCAAAAGGAGATTCTCTCAAATAATCTACTAACATCTCATCCTGTTGATCTGTGGAAATCTTCTGCCCTCCTGAACCGCCCAACCGTGCTATAGAGTGAAAATTATCCCATCTTTGTTTAATCTTCCATATGCACATATGACTCACGTTCAAATCAGCAGCAACTTGCCTTAGTGACCAACCTTCTTTGAGTTTGGCAATTCCTCTTGCTTTTTGCGCATAATTCAAATGTATTCTAACCATTTTGGAAGAGTTTAATATACTTTTATTTTATTGTTGAACACTCGCGAAAGCATTGACGTTTTGAAATTTTTTGACTTTGACATTTATCAAATCCGTACGACACTGCAATTTTACAGTATTACAATATAAAAAGTAAGGTGTAAACTATTCCGTGACCGCAACTGTACATCCATTATTTTTGCTGATGAACGAACGATGTTTGCAGTTTGGACTATTTCCTCATAATATGTCTACAGATGAACAAATGGTTCCTTATAAGGTCTGGTGGTTGTGTAGCTCAGAGGGATGTCTATACCAATTTATTCATTCTGGTGGCGTAAATCCAGAAAGGCAGAAATCTCAATACACATTAGGGACGCAAAGAGTTTTCTTCGACAACTACTTTTCGAGTTAACTATTCCACATTCTAGTGAAAAAGGAATTTTCTTTACTAGCACCATGAGAGACAATAGATTACCAGGATGTCCTCTACAAAGTAGCAAAGTGCTTGGCAAGAAGAACAGGGGCGAGTTTGATCATGCTTTCGACAAAAAGGCAGAAGTATCAGTTGCAAGGTGGAACGATAATTCCGTTGTGACTGTAGCCAGCTACAATGGAACGGTTCATCCAATTGTTACAGGTAAAAGATATAATCGGAAACTACAAAAGGAAGATTCAATACCTCAGCATAATATGATTAACGTTTATAACCGACAAATGGGAGGTGTTGATCTCCTAGATAATTAGGTATCAAACTATAGGGATCCGAGTAAGAAGTAAAAAGTGGTCCAAGCTCTTGTTTATGAACCTTGTGGATTGCAAAGTTGGAAATTCATGGTGAATTTACAACATTGCGAATGAATCTCGAATCTCCCAATTGCAATTCCGTTCTTCGTTGGTTTTGTCACTGATACAGAAAGAAAAAAGATTTACAGTAAAAACAGCTGCTGAAGAAGGTGATTCCGAATCAGACCCAGAGCCAACGCCATCCACATCTACATGGGGTCGTCCTTCTAAAGGAAGTTTACCGTACTGATAATCAATATGACCAGACTGGTCATAATATCGTTCGCGAAAATTAATGCTGTTTACATGTGTGGAAAATGCAAGGTTCACTTGCACGTTGACTGTTTTAGTGCTTTCCAGTAAAAAAGGAGGTGCCATACTACCAAGTAATTACTTTTATCTTATATAATTAACTATTGTAGTAATATCTTTAGTTTTTAATTGATAAAACCAAGAAATTTCATTTACACACTATAAAACGTATACCTTTCAATTTACTACATATATTATGCCAAAGTTTCGTTAACGAAACATTTTTTTTCTATATTGCAATTATTATTGTTTATAATTTTAAGTGAAATATTGTTATTATGGCTTTATTTATAAAGTATATAAACTTGAAATGCAAAAAATATGATTATTTCAATGCTTGGCCACTAATGGGTTAAAAATAACAATATTTTACCATTTAGACACGAAAAGACACTTCATAGAACATTTCCAATACTATTCTGAGTAATGGACAGTTAAAATCGAATTTTAAAGAAACAATAATATGAAAAAGATAATAACTACGAAATAAATTAAAATAACATTATTTACAGCATCAATTCTTTTATTTTGTACAAAATGTATTAAACGTTCCTACGTACTGTCCCCACTTTCTCTGTTACCAAAGTCACATACGTATTAAAAGGAAATATTTTAGGCCATTTAAACAGACATTTAACAGAACCCTTCTTCAAATAATGAAGAATTATCGTTGAAAATTACAGTGGTAAAGGAACAGTGTACGTTGAATAAAATACGATTTCGATAAAAAAAAACATTTAGAGAATCAGTTCCATTATTTTGTGCCACATCTCTTACTTCTCTACCTCACAATACAACTAATAATATAACTAAAACAGTCTGATAGCAATTCATGCTCTCTAAAGCACCAATGTGTGCATTTGGGCCCCGAATTGAACATTCATTTTAAATTAAATAAGAAAATAATGCACAGTTCGATTTGTATCCCATAGAAATTTACAAATGTTACTGTAAGTATTAAAGTAATTCCCTAACAAGAATGATATATGACAATAATTTCGGTCTGTTGTACAGATTTGTACCAAATGTATATAAAATAAACATCTCCTTCCTATAAGGGTGAATAAAACACTAAACTATTTAGTCTATCAAGTTATAAGTTCATACACAATACAATTATTTTCGAAAATAACGACACGATTAGTTATCTTCATCTTTATCTTTATCGTCATCGTTATGTTCCAAATCTTTATCATCATCGTTCTGTTCCAAATCTTTATCATCATCATTCTGTTCCAAATCTTTATCATCATCATTCTGTTCCAAATCTTTATCATCATCATTCTTTTCCAATCTTCATCAGACATTTCTTCTTCCTCTTCTTCAACGGGTTTTTTAGTTTTCTCCGTTTTCTTTACTTTTTCTTTTTTCTTTCGCTGTGAAGTACTTGTTTCTGATTCTTCGCCTGTGATATGGACTTCTTTAACTTCTTTTGGAACGGGTGCAATTCGGGGTTTTCTCTTGTACAGATCCTCGTCGTCTGAATCTTCTTTGTAACAAACTGTCCTTCCTCCTCTTTGCCTTGTAGACCGGGTAGAAACTTCAGGTACGGGTTGTGGTTGGTGGTCGTTGTCTTCATCCATTAACCTTTCGTGTCCTAAAGTTAAAAAAAAATTGAGAAAAAAAAAATAATATGGAAAAAACATAAATACTGGGTATTTACCCATAAATTCGTTAACTTTAATATGAAGAATGTAAGGTTATTTATGGATTTGAGGCACACGGCTTTCACTCTCTTAAGGGAAAAATTCACTCATCCCAGATACATACGGTATCAAAATTATTCGAGGTCTTTTCGTATTAAAAAGCTCTAGGTGAACTGGTATATATTTTCCAAAAATGTTCTTTTTTATTTTTCGTCTTTTATGAGACGGGTTGGTCGAAATGTTCGAAACATACCTAGGGCAGAACCACCTTCCAGTCTCGATTATGCAGAATTCCTCCAGCGTAGCCAAGATGATATCCGAGACTGCGCGCAAGGGTTATTCGGGCACCATCGCCGTCAATGCCAGATACCTAGCTGTTAAAAAAAGCACCCTCTTCGGCGGTGCATTATCGGCCGGATCGCCCTGATTGGGAAGCAACATCGGCACGGCATTCACCCGATCTCTCAGTGACGCACTCTAGCACTTTCTCACTACGACTGAATTCTTCTCTTCCTCTGTTTCTGCCTGTTCATGTTCAATCTCACCCCTTCTCATTCTGCTTATCTTCTTGCTTGCTTCTGGACACCCTGCCTCACTTCAGGTCATATTTCTTCTTGTTCCTTTCTCTCCAGCGTTCTCCTCACATATCTCTGAACTGCTCTCCATTGACCTGATGACCTTAGCATCTCCTCCATCAGTTCCGTGACTGATTGTATCCGGGGTTTCTCATTTATCCATCTATCGCTTACCAATATTCTCTGAAAGATAGTTGAAGACCAAATTCATCAAGTACCTCGGACACCTTCTCTCTAGTAGAGCCTTCATTACCTCTTTCCATTTTAATGTGTTGAAAGCATTCCGGACGTCAGACAACAGTAGGATTGCCCACCTCTGGTTAACCCCATCTCTGCGTAACTCCCGGAAAACTTTCAACAGCGCATCCACCGTGTTCAATTTCTTTCTGAAACTGTACTGCCTGGGTGACAGACTCTTCAATCACTGTGTCTATTCGCTTAGAAGCTTCTCGTTTACTTTACCTATGCCTGACAGAAGGCCAACTGGTCGATACTTGTCTTCCCCCTTTGGCAGTAGCACAAGCCTCGAGATCTTCCAATTTGCCAGAAATCGCAGTTTTCTGGCAAAGAGTTTCAAACAGTACATTCACGTGTTTCAAAAAGCCACGTCGGCTTCATACTGCCAAAAATGTTCTTATGCATCTGGACATCGTGAGCTTTTAACCCTCGTAAGACGGTGTCTAGATTCTTACAACAACTGTGTTAAAACAACAATTTTTTTATATGTAAACTTCGTGGAAATTGATAAGAAATATAATTAGAACTAGTTTATTATACTAACATAACTTTACAAACAAAGCACTTGTTTCTTCACTAAAAAATTAATAATTGTTGCAAAGCAAACACAATTTTTCACAGAGTGAGCAACACAAACAAAGATTATTTACACAATAATTTCGGTCTTTTTTTCTTGGCATACCATCAAACCAACAAACCCATCTATACAGTTGGTAGGAAAAAAGTTTATTTTTTAACTTGATTTGTGTAACACCACTCATCATTCCCCGAGCTGGTAACACGTCTGTATCTTTAGACCGAGAAGAGATAAACTAATGATATGATTGCAAGAGATTGTTGAAAATATTTAGTTTTAACGCAAAGCTCAAATACAACAAATCGAAAGGAAAGGTTTATTGACGTTTCAGCTTCAGCTTAAGATAATGACAAATTACTTTATAATATGGCAAACACAGATCCAATACAGAAAGGAAGTTTAACAAATGGACAAAGCAAGAATGAACTGAAACTTTGACAACTGAAGCGATGTCTATTGTTTACTTACCTTTTCCGTTGACTTCTTTTTTTGCCTTTTTCCTACCCTGGGCTTTTTATTTTCTTTTGGCGCGGCAATTTTCTCTTCTTTCTTAGTCATCTCCTCATCATCATCAATATCTGAAACATGTGCATCATCATTTGCTACATTATTCTCTAAATCTAAATCTTCATCTTCTGTTTTCTTAGCTCTTTTTCTTCCAACTGCTTTCTTCTTTTGTTTTTGAGGTGTATTCACATTTTTGCCTTTCGGTCTACCTTTCTTCTTTTTAGGCACCTCTTCTTGATCGGATAAGTCGTCTAAATTCTCTTTCTCGTCCTCTGATCCATCTTCCTCAATATCTAGTTTGGGAATTTTATTCTTAGAAGAAGCCGGTGCATTTTCGCTTTTCCTTTTGTTTGGAGATGTCTTAGGAGATTTACTGTCAGGTACAGAAAACTGGAATGGTTTTCCAAGAGCATCTCCGCCAGTTATACCAGATAAAAATATTTTTCTGATAGTTTTGTAGTCAGGTGTAGAATTGTGTTCTAACGATAAGAGGCAATTTAAAAAGTCGACAATGGGACCTGAAAAAATAAGTGAACACTACAGAACTGATATAATTTGATATTGAGTTATTGGGAATTTGCTATTAATAAATTACTATTAAACTGGGAATAAGCCACAATTAAAGATAAAAATACGTTTATTGACGTTTCAATTTCCACTTCGGAAATCGTTCTCAAAATACAAAATGTTTGTATTTTGAGAACGATTTCCGAAGTGGAAATTGAAACGTCAATAAACGTATTTTTATCTTTAATTGTGGCTTATTCCCAGTTTAATAGTAATTAATTTACAATGCCACAAGAAAATAGCTTCAGAACAATATTGCTATTAATATGAAGCAATGTTTTTAAAGTGAAAGACGTTCACATACCTGATGGTGATCTTTTGTCAAAACAAGCTTTGATGAATTTAGGTACACTGGACATATATTCTTCTTTAGATTTTTGAACATCTTCAGGATTTTCCAGATCATTTTCCCACGGCAAAACGCATCCAAGCCATTGAATCAAATTATAAGCTAGGGTTTCCAAATCACCACGTTTGGTTTGAACTAAAAAATAAATTAATTAAGTTTCTACTAAGGACAAACTATCAACACTTTACTGATTGCATGGGTATTATTTCTAATGACTCTAGTTTGAAATCACGCAGACTTAAGTTTTTCTTCATCAGCACATATGTCTGTAGAAAGCATAAAGAATAAACCAAAGTTTATTGGGCAAATAAAACGCTAAATTTATGTTATGTAAAAAACATTGAGAATTAAAACAAATAAAGTGTTTTAGCATATATCTTTGTAAGTAACAATCATTGAAAACATGTTTTCAATTTTTCATTACAGAGCAGATTTAGAAAAACTGTTCATTTATGTATATTTGTAAGAAAAGGGAGTAATAGGCATTAAATAGTACTCTTACCTCCACTATGAGCATCTCTACTTAAATATTCAATTGTACCATCGTGAGCTTTCTTGGGGTTAGGTTTAAACTCTTCCTCTTCATTAGATTTGCAGGTTAAGCCAAAATCTGCCAAGTACACTTGCTTGTTCTGTGTAGCCTTCGTAACTCCCATCAGAATGTTAGATCCTTTAATATCAGAATGTACATAGCCCCTGCTATGAATGTATTCTAAAATGTCCAGCTGCAAAGAATTATCATTTAAAACTGGTAAACTGCTAAAACTAAAAAGTTACATTTCTTTAAGTTACGAGCTAAATTTTTTGATAACGCTAGTAAAACGTTGTCGATCGGTATGTTTCTGCAGAGGGATGAAAAACGAGTGAATACGCTGAACAAAAAAAGAAAGCCTTTATTTTACATTGAAGTAAGTTCACAGAGCTATAACGGCCATCAATAATACAAGATATACATAAAAGCAGACCTAAAAAAGGTAAACACTAAGTACCTAGCGATATCAATAAATGGAATTAATTATAGAAGCATAGATATTAACAAATATATTCTGGCAAAAAAAAAACAAAAGTTACTGACTTGAAATATAATTACTTAAAATAAGCTCGCAGTTATTATGAAAATCATTTAAATGGAGAAAAGTGCTAGGTAGGCCAGGAGGAAGATCCAAAATGAGATGGGGGATCAGATAATTAGAGACAATGAAAAGCTTAAAGTGGAGAACTAACTATATGAAAGAGGAAGACTGTGAAAGACTGCAAATCATAAAAACAATTGAAGAACCAAAGAAACGCAGTTTTTTTTTAGTAACTGAATTTACTGATACATTTTGTTAAAATTTATAAAAAATAGCATTCTTCGATGTTTTAATCTTAACTATGCAAAGAAAAAAAGATATACAAACTGGAAATCTAAAATATTTATTCTTAAAAGTCTGTTCACATAGATGACCTATTAAATATTACTTACCAACTGAACTGCTAGTTTGAACACGGTAGCTGCTGGAAAATGTCTGTCGTTTTCCAAAAAGGTTTTCCACAGATCTGTACCAAATTTCTCCATTACAAGAAATCGATACTTCTCACCATTCAATTCGTGAGATCCAGATCCATGATATACTGGCATTCCAAATGTTTTCAAACCTTTTTGATTTTTGAAAGCTTCCACTGAAATAGAAAAATATTTCCAAATTTAAATAAATCATAAAACATTCAAAAATGTTTGTTTAATTTTATTGAATCTCTATTTATTTTATTCTAACAAATTTCTTCTTTGTAACTTGTTAAGAGTTGTAGTGCTTAATTAAGGGGCAAGCATGCAATAAGAATTTTTAAAACATTCTATTTTTTATTGGTGTAAAAGATGCTTTGTACCCTACAGACAGTGCTTTCCAAATTTTCTTAGCTCGTGAACCCCTTGTGACAAACAAATTAATTGGTGATATACTTGTGTTATCATAACCAGTTCATTAGAGTAATTGTCGAAAGATAATAAAAAATAAAAATCTATATTTCAAATTTTAGCACTAAGCGTACATTACTGTCTGTTTATTCTCGAAAGTAGCTTATCATATCCGGAATAAAAACAGGATGTTGATAAAATAATAAATAGAGCAAATTTATTGAAATTTAATGGAATGGAAAGCATACCAGGTTAATGCAATGATTGCTAGTATATCTAATGATTGTTGTATTAAATTACAAATAGTATGTAAATAAAGGTATACAATAGATCAAGTGTTTTATCATACACTGATTGCACCAATGACGAAAGAGGCGATTTCAGTACAAAAAAAATAACTAACTTAAAAAAAAGCGTTGTACATTACATGGAAACATAGAATATGAAAAAGAGAGCATAGCTAGCAAATTAAAAGTAATGCAATTACAATAATTAAAAGAAATGCAAAAAAGAATTTAAATAACTGTAGACTAAATCAGAGAATGAAAAAATATTAAACAATCATCAGTAGAATGGTTCACCAAAGAAGAAATAAAGAAACTGACTGGAAAGATGAAGGATAAGAAAATAAAGATGGATACACCATTAGACCCTAGGGAAAACAGTTCTAAAGTCCAAGAGTTATGTATGTAAACCAAAAAATGAAAAAAAATACATTAACCCCCTGTGTTACTTATAAAAAAAACCTAATACATCATCATGTAAAGACTTTAGACTAATTAGTCTCATGAGTCACTCTCTCAAGCTACTTCTTAGGATAATTCTTAATAGAATCAAGCAGAAAAGTGAAGACACAATGGGAAATAAACAATTCGGTTTCAGAGAAGGATTGGGAACAAGGGTAGCTTTGTTAATGGGAAGTACAGAGAGCAATTTACATGTGTTTTTATAGATTTTGAGAAGGCGTTTTGATAGGGTTCAACATGGTAGGCTGTTTGAATATCTAGAAATGATTGGAATAGATGATAAAGATCTGAGACTTTTACAACATCTATATTGGAATCAAGTTAAAATACAAAACAAATCATCCGCTAAATATGTTTATTTTCACATTTAGAATTGTATGTAAACTTATAAACAAAATATTTGGTACAACAGATGTTATAAGTATAAGAGTTAACATTCAGTCTATTAGAAAAAGCAGGCTAATACCACAATGCAAATTTTACCAGGATATCACAATATAAGATATTACTCAAACTGTAATAAACCAAAAAATGGCACACCAAAATGTGTCCATGGTGCTGAAAGTCACCAAGCTAATTAACAAAGATACATTATAGCCAAAGAACTACAAAATGTAAAGGACAAGCGAATGAAAAAACATAGTTTGCCTCCCTAAAGCCATACAAAAAACAAAGTAAATAAATGTTATGCATAGTGTCTATCACTCAGATAAAGTTAATTTAAGTAACTTCAATATTGAAGTAAAAAATGCTGTTCAAATTCCATTTATTCAATTTTCACTTTCTTTCTTTTTAAGTATTTTAGCCTATAAATGGTCTCAAGGATAAGCTGAGTTAATATTCCTACATATTTCTTAAAAAGATGTGTCGTTTACATGCATTATTTAATTTATCTTTGAGACTGCACACCTCTCTAGTAAGTGGCGTGATAGTCATATAACTCTGGTATTTAAAAATGGTGACAGAGACTGTTGGATATTGAATGGACTGTATTTTTATGGATGCAGGTTGGATGAAAAATTACTAAAGAACTATATGATAACTATATTAAGTGAGAAATTAATTTTAAAAACACAAAATCACAAAATGAAGTCTAAGTCTCTCCCTGCAATTGTTTGAATGTCAATGTCTGTCATCACTAGTGAGGTTGCCAGCCTTTTTTAGGGACACAAGAACTAGGAAATGTCCTTGCAGCTTTGAGAGAGAATATAAAAATTATAGGCCTGTCTTTATGTGATCTGCCATCCCTAAACTCTTTGAACTAATTCTAAACAAATATCTCACTTGGCATCTATCTCTTGATTAATGACCAACATGGATTTAGGGCAGGGTAAATCTACATCTACAAATCTTGTTTTGCATCAGCTCTTTCAAGGGTGGGTACCAAGTGGACTCCATTTTAACTGATTTCTCGAAGGCCTTTGGCACACTATTTCATTCTTTGTCCATCTTCAAATTAAGATGTGTCAGCTTTCCTGAGTGGTTTCTTTCATAGATAAGTAGTTATCTGTATGAAAGATTCAGTTTGTTATTATAAAGAATTCACTCTCGATTCCTATCTGGGCCAGTTCATGGCACACAAAAGGTTCACATGTGGGTCTTCCTCTCTTAAATTTGTTTATTAATGATATTTCTGAGGTAATAACGTTTTGTCAATTTTATTTTGTAAGCAGAAACAATTCAACCTCCTCTCAAACTAGGAAGACAGCTATTGAGTAGAAAATATCCATGTTAAAAATTACATCAAAGTGAGCATATTAATAGAATATGTAAATTAACAGGAGACATTTTGACCCATAGATATTGGCATTGGCAAGAAAACTCTGCTTGCAGTAGAAAGTTGCACAGAAATACGTAAGATTACTGGAATTGCATTATACCAATCAACATCCTCCTATCCTACCTAGGTTTCCCTCTTGAAAATATATTTTCATAGGAAATTTGTACTTATTATTTTGAAAATAAAGGGTAAGTATTGAACATCAATCAAAGTTCAATGAAATAAAAAACAAATAATGGATTAATTATAAATGAATTTTTACCGCAAAAAATATTTTTACCAAAAAAAGCTTTCATTTGTACTAGAGCAATAGCAGCAATCATACAGCTATGAAATACATATTAGGTTCTAAATATGACAAATTTATGATATGTAGAAATAGCAAATGTGCAGTAACAAATTTAAAAATGAAGTAGATCAATAAACCACATTGAAACCCAAATTTTGAAATTATGGAATTATATTCACAACGAAGAAGTTTTTGTTTATTTATGGGTAAAGCCCGAACTACAGGATAGGAGCTATATTTTAAATGACCTGACTTATTCATAAAACAAAAAACCAAATTTCAAAAATGTGGCAAAACTTATATATTAAATCCACAAATGGATTAGATTTTGTAAAACATCAAAATAGAATATCATCATCAGTTGGCGCTACAGCCCTTCATGAGCCTTGGCCTGCTTTAAAACATTCTTCCATCCTTCCCTATCGAGTGTTGGTCTTCTCCAGCCCCTCACTCCAATCTCCCTCAGATCTTCCTGTACATCGTCCAGATATCTGAGTTTAGATCGCCCCCTTCTTCTTCTTCCGACCGGCCTGTTTAGCAGTTATTTTAGTGGGATCACTCTCATCCATCCGCATAACTTGGCCCACCCACCTAAGGCGGTTTATTTTGATGTCTTCACAATATCTACATCACCAAAAAGTCTATAGAGTTCAAAGTTATATCACCTCTCCACAGACCCTGTTCGTTTACTCCGCCATATATGGTTCTCAATACTTTTTTTTCAAAGACTCAAAATAGAATAGAATTTATATACAAGGTGAACCCAAGCTGATATTATGTCTCTGTATAAATTACTCAATTTCAGGATTGACTGCAATAATCTCTTGTGTTGTGATTTTAATATCCTTTCCAGATTTACTCAGTTATTTCAACAAGTTCCATTTGAGTATCAAATTTACCAATAATTATGATAAACATTCTCCAATGAACAGAATGATTCTAAATGGTAGTAAAATTGACCTTGATTTATTACTATGTGCTTCTGAGAATGTTTGTAAACAAGGTGTAAGGTGACTATTGAAATTGTTTCAATTTGTAATTTACTATCTTACTACACATTTTATTTACTTACTGCATGTATAATATTTTTTGGTTTAATTTTGTAATATCTTGTATATACAATTGGATGGTACCAGTTAATAAATAAATAAATAAAGACGGATAACTGTATCATTATGGGCCAGTATCCCACTTGCCAACATTATCTCTTGCTTGTAAAGCTGGATCATCCTATGTATCCTATGTATTAGTGCCCCATTTTCGTTAGAGCACTAGTCACAATTATGATAATTTTCTTTCAAAAACTGTAATAAAGGGTACTTGAATGGCTTTTACTTATGGTTTTCAACAAATCTAAAGGATGTAAAGCTAAGTCATGTTCTGCATTGTGCCAAAATTCATTATAATAAGCTGTGAACTAGGCTGACATTTAAATTTAGATCATTCTTAGCAGCATTTGGTTTAAATGATCCATATTATGTTAGAAAATTCATAAGTTGTTAATGAATGCCTTTATTCATGTCTTTAGTTTGGTAATCTTTAAAGACATAGTTTGAAGTTTGGGCTTTGTGTTTGTTGTACTCATTATAAGTAAGTCATAAATTCGAACTTACCTCATTCCAACAATAATACACCATGTTTATAGTACTTAATATGCTAATATTTAGATAACATAAGAAATAATACTTAAAATAATTTATCTTGACAAAACTAAGCACACAATACAAATAACATTACTGGGTCATTGTTTCATGTAAAATTATAGACTCACTGTGGTTTAAAATTTACAAAATAGAGTACCACACATAAACATCAGGTATTAGAAATCTGACGTCAGATTTTCAAGAGATATTAGCTGTACATAGTTACTTAAATGTTCAAAATCTTTTCTCTGATCTAGAAAAAATGAAGAACAATGAATTATGAAAAAATACTGATTTTTGAGTTTATACTAAATCTTATTTTGAATAAAATACAAAATTTTATTTGATATAAGTAGAGACTTAAAATTAATATGGATATAATTATTTGCAGAATATAAAAATACAATAATATATTCCATGAGATTAACAAAATTAATAGTTTTAACATGAATTGTAAATCGTAGTGTATATAATGAATTACAGAATCAAATCCCATCATTAATTAATATAATTTAAGTAGCTTACCATCTTCTGGTTTTCCATGTTTTATATAAAAGTGCATCTCCACAAAGAGAGGTCCATTTTCATGAGATTCCTGGAAAAAAATTCTTATAATTTGTGATAAAATATTTAATAATCAGAAAAAAGCATTACTCCTATATTTCTGTCTAAATTATCCTGTCACAAAATTCCTTTCATTTACGGATATGGAATAGATTACTGGAACTTTTGTAGATTGTACAGAATGCTAACTAATGTACACCAATATAAACCAAGTTACAGAGTTAAAAATCCTATTTCATTGAATTTTTTGAAATTAGGAAACCATGTACTTTTTAATAAATTTGAAAAATTTAATTTTTTATCTTAAATTAATCAAAATATACCAAGTTTTGGTTAATAACAAATAATAATTTTCCACAATAAATAAACTGTTGTGAAAATTGTTTAAAAAAAATTTACTAAGGTATTGTTGTGTTTGAAGCACACACTGAGTTTCCATTACTGATGCTTTATAAAAACAGAATTGTGAACATAAATATGTACTCACAATTTTTATAGCATATGGATATTTTGAGTCTTTACTGCCGTATTCCTTTGCAGAATATATTTCACCAAACCCGCCTTTTCCTATTGACGGCCCCAATATCCACTTTTTCTTAGCTACATCTTCAAGAACTTCACCCTCCGTAAACGGCTCTGGAAGTTTGTAACCATTAGCGGCTTTCTTTTTGAGAGATGCTTTGGGCATTTTAGAAACAATCTTAGTTTATAAAATGATGTTCTATTTATAATGTATTAAAACACTTAACGTTACAATAAAAATATATGCCCTACTGACAGCTAGGACTTCAGCTTCTAAAGTAATCGAAATCGCAAATTTCCTGTTTTTGTTATTACTAAAACATCGAACGAATCGAGTCAAGTGGTTCGAAATAATCGAATCTTAAAATAATAATTTTCAAATTATATATAAAAAAACACGGCTTTATTTTACCAAATATAATAATAAACAACCTACTGATAAATTTAGAAATTAAATATTAAGTGACCTTAAATCTAAAGCATTAATAGTTAATTTCATTATAGGAATTTTCAGTTTTTAAACAACCGCCTAGCATTGTCACCACAGAATCTCGAGTGAATCGAAAAATAATCGAAATATTCGGGAACAATCGGGTATGGGGTGCTATTTTTCCTGTTTACTGGTTGTTATAAATTGACCTTTTTATCTTAAATTTTAAACGACTCCAATCGATAAAATTACGAAATTAACCAAGATATTATTTTGTATATATAATTATAAATTAATCAAATACCTTATATGGACACAATTCTTTAATAAATAGTAGATCAGGTTTGAAATAACATTTTTTGTGTATTATAGAAGATTTAGGCAACCAGTTATTCAGATTAAAACCCAAAGACAAGCACTCAAGAAAATAGTTTAAAACTAAACTAAAAAACAGAGTATCTGTATTGTTTATTAGAGTATGAAACTACTACTAACTTCTGGTGGATGGTGAAACTCCATTGTTGATTTTAAAACTCGACACTTTTGGTCGTTTGCACAGATATCCTATTTGCGGAATTTTAAAGAGACATTTTCCTAAGTTAAGCCACTTAAATGGAATGCCAAGATTCTTCATTCCTTTATAAAATTCCTTTTAATGTATTCTACGTTATACTACAAGCAAAAATAAAGATCTTATCTAGATATTTGTGCGAATACGACACATCCTGTGCTATCACTTTTGAATGAAAAGTCTAAGAGTTTTGGTTTATAGAGTTTTCTTCATGAAGAAAGAATTCTATTGAATTTGAAGTACATATGCATTCCTCTTCTTCTCTTGATGTTACGTTCCACAATTCTAGACTGTATTTCACGTTAACGACGGAACGTTTGGCTTATGAACGAAGAACATTTGCCAGTCAGTATATGGTCAGAGATATACACTCACTGGCTCGAAAAACGGAGCACTTGCATTTTTAAAATAAAAATTTTTTGGCAGTGGTATAAATATGGACATGTACAATCTTTTGGTAAAGTTTCTGTTTCATATATACGGTTAAATAATTCTGTCATACTATCAAGTTGATTGTCTTCTATCAATTTCAATACCTCAGCATATATTCCATCAGGTCCTGGCGCTTTGTTGTTTTTTACGCTACTTATAGCAGATCTTAATTCTTATTTTGTTATTGTTGGTCCATTCTCGACGTTGTCATATACTTCAATGTGTTGGTTGTCACTGAACAGTTCTGCTATATATTCGTATCATCTGTCCAGTTTTTCTTGCGTATTGAATAGTATGTTTTCATCTTTATCAAACAGTGCAGTGGGCATTATTGTTTCTATATATTCTTGCCATTCCTTTGTTCTTCCTGTGCATATTGAATATATCATGTTTTTTTCTGTAGGATCTCTATTTCTAAGCATTTCTCTAACAGCTAGGATTCTTTTGCTAATTTTAACGATCTTTTAAAATAATGCCGTATTTGAGCTTAAGTAAAACTTCGATTAATAAATTCACAAGAAGAGAATTATCACTATCTTTTTGAAGTAGCATTCCACTCTTAATTTTTAAATTAATAATATAAATTATTATTATCTTTCTAGGTTGTACTTAAATTTCTTCTTTTTCAATGAATAGCTGCAAATAAATGGGGAAGAGGTATAAAAAGTTTAAAAAGAAACTGAAATTTATTATCAAAATATAAAATAACCTAAAAAAATTGACTACAAAAATATATATACAGGAGGTGGTTGATGCACCTCAATCATCGAAACAAAAGGAAAAAAGCCATATTTCACAAATTTATAATTTTAAGTTTTTGATTAAAATGATACATTTTTTTAAATAAACACGATATAACGAATCGAAATTTTTTTGTATCACAGCATTTTGAGGCTTTCCAAATAAAAAATACTTTTTAAGTTAAACGTTCAAATTTAAGATTGCCTGAAAAGCTGACTATGAAAAGTTGTAATAATCAATACTGACGATACTTTGACAACACTGGCGATTTCCAGTACTAGATCTAAACTCTAGAAATGTTATGATTATGATGTGTTGTAGGTGGTACTGTGTAAACTAAACTATGTATAACAAGCTGATGTTCAAGAATGTAAAGTTTGTTAAGCAGAAAATGGTTGACCTCAATTAGTGCGATCGTAAATATTATTAAATTTATCTGACTTGGCCCATTGTTAGGACTTTCTACCTCAGGTAAACCATTGTTACCTGAACCCGGGCCTTTTATAGTATTATCGGTTAACCCAGGATTTTTATAGTCGGTACTAATTCAAGTCAAGTACAGAAACGTGCGATATGATACGTGATAGGACTTAACGAATATAATACGACGACATAAACGGCTTAACGGGACGTGCTAGGTGTCTCATGGATCTAGGCCTAATCATGTTTTAATCATGAGCAATAATTCGCTTAATCTATTCTCACACAGTATTTAATTACCAACTTTTCATTATTAAACATATTAAAATAATTTTAAAAGTAATGCGCTTGTATTTAAAAAATATACAGAGGATCCAAGCTTACATGTTACATGTATGTATATATGTTCGATTTTCTAGCATTTCTGTCCTTCCGGTAATGATTAATTCTATTCTGCTGACTCAATTCACTCGCAATCTTTAATCAAAAGTCGCAAATTTGGATTTTATACATACATACAGAAAAACACATATTACTGAATAAAACTTAAATATATAAAAACCGGATCCTCAACATATCACACTATTCTTCATAAAATGTATTGATTTTAAATCAGTAGTCTGGACAAGCATCTTGTCCGCATTTGATAAACTCGTAAATTAATAACAACCTTTATATTTTTTCTACAACTTGGCCTCCTGTCCACGTCACAAATACGGAAAAAATACTTGCCTATTGACTTTCTGAGAATGGTTGTTCGATACACAAATATACATTCGAAAGAAGAAAGGGTCGCTAATATTTTGTACCATAAAGAAGATAATTCATATCAGTTTCCGTATTTTCCTATAAAACGTTTTTGACCGAGATACCAAAATTGACCGAGATAATTGCAAAAAGCCTTTATTTTTGCGGTGATTTATAGATATTAATAACTTATGGTAATTAATGAGTTAAAGTGTCCTAAACCTCAGCTAACATCGACAAAATCGTTTGTAAGTGATTCAATTTGTTTATCGCGGAGAGCGATGATTTAAACAACTGTATTTGCCGAAAAATGTGGAACAAAAATATGGACACAGAAATCCCACTTAGGGACTATTTAGCTAATAAACATTTACTATAACTTTGATATTTTTTATGTCTGGCGCTTGTACCTAGGCTCACTGAAAAGATGATGAAAAACACATTAAAAAAAAAAGAATCTATAACTAATTGGAGGCGGGATGGCAATTTTTTTCTCATCAGATCAAATTTTCAAATCGATTTCCATTTTTTATTAACATTAAGAGCTGAAAACAGATTATAAACGAAGGTAAACTGTCACTAGAACAATCTTCATTGTAACATTTAAAAAGAGTTACGAATTTGTCCCTGAAAACAGTTAAAGGGACGGTCCCAGCATTGACTTCGTCTACTTTTGAAATACATTCAGATAATGAATATTTTTCACTTAAATGTGAATTTATTTATGAAGGGTAGACTGTGAGACTACGCCCTACAGGTTTTTAGCAGAGCCGGCTGTGAAACCAAAACCTGGACGAGTGTCTAGTTCACCAGCGAGCAAAGACGGGACTACTAGAAATGAATCGTTTATATTACAGGTACTTTATTTAAGAACGTTGCCTATTGTGATCATACATAGCTCCAGGTAATAAACCAGTTTTAGACTTAGCGCAAACTTAGCAAGGAACAAGGAATGTAAATTTTATTTAAGGATGGATCAGAAACAATTATTTTTATCGTAATTTATGACTCCAATTAATACAGATTAGATTAGAAAGATGCATTACGCATTATATCTAAAAAATCTTTTAGAAAACCAAAATAACCACTACAAAGACCCAAAATATGTAGTAGGTGCATTCTCAGTAGAAAATATCATCTCCCTTTCTTCCTTCCTATTAATTTGTTCATCAAACAACCTACTTAGAGGTCCACAGACACTTTTGGATATACTATAGAGAGTAAACATTTAGAAACATCTGTCCATGACGACTAAAACGGTTAATACCTATATTTTCTATCTGTAGCTGTGTAGAAACAAATATGTTTTACGAGTGCAAACAAGTATGCCCATATAATTGGTATATAATTTACTATAACGGATTGTAACTTGTTAATATCATAGGAATATTGTACGTATATATTTGTGTATTTATAAAATTCTACTTTTGGCAAAATATTGCAGTATATAGCAGTGCAATCAATATTACGACACATTTTTGGCGTTCTTAAAAAAGATAGTATTTGTTCAGAACATTATTTCCCCTCGGCCTAATTCTTCGCGACTACATTTCATCTTCATTGGAACTGAGTGTTTAGAAACAGATCATATCTAACATTTTTAATGACAAAACCTTATCAATTTGTTGCAAAACCATATTTCACATTACTTTGTTGTTCAGCCTATTTTATTTTTGCAAATTTAGTTGGTAGTTTGTATGAAAACTACTACAATGTTTGTATGAAAACAATGAAGTAATTGTGAGATTTAGAATCATATATTCTTCGCAGAGCAAAATTAGAAAAGGCACCAGACAATGCTGCATATTGTTGTGAGTCACTTAGAGATAGTACAAACACTACTGACCCCAGCGCAGTAGATGAAATTTGGTTTAGTCCCCACTTCCATGCAAAACGCATTGTACTATGTACTATATATTTACAATGGAACCTTT